AGACGTTCAGTGACTGTCTTGAGGTTTGGATTCCCTCATAAACTGCACCATGATCAAGGAAAGGAGTTTGAAAACCAACTGTTCAGATGACTCCAACACCTATCAGGCATCACCCCCTCACGGACAACTCCCTACCACCCGCAGGGGAATGGTCAGGTGGAACGTTTTAATAGAACACTCCTTGGAATGCTTCGCACCTTGCCAGACAGAGAGAAGTCACGCTGGAAGGAATCCCTGAACAAGGTAGTGCATGCTTACAACTGCACCCATTGTGATGCCACAGGATATTCCCCATTCTACCTTCTGTAGGGCCACCCCCCTCGACTCCCCATTGATCTAGCATTTGGGCTGTCACAGAGGGAGGAACCCCAAGGAACCACCAAGAGTACAGCAACCACTGGAGGAGACAAATGGAAGAAGCATACGAGATAGCAAGGAATAATGAAGCCAAGTCATCAACTAGAGGGAAAAGCCAGTACAACAGGAAGCTCTACAGCACTGTCCATCCTGGCGACAGAGCCCTGGTGAGAAACCTGAAGGAGACTGGTGGACTAGGCAAACTTCGCGCACACTGGGAGAATGAAGTTCATGTCATAGTAAAACAGCTGAGTGATGATTCCCCTGTATATGAACCACGTACAAAAAGAGGCTAGGGGACACACAGAACCCTCCATAGGAATCTTTTGCTACCCTGCAACGACCTCATCCTAGAAGAACCAGTTATGCCCTTGACCAGAACTGCTCCCGAAGTGAGCAACCAGCCAGAAGATAGTGACACAGACAGTAAAGATGAATGTACCATTCACCTGCTAACCCCAGTGTCAAACTGTCCTTCACTCATGGCGCGACCCTCCATAATTGCGAGAACCACAGACACGCATTTGACAAGGTTAAATTAAGACGTTGAAGTGTTCATCCCCAAAGGTGACAGGACAATTGCGGAAAATGCAGATGAGCCAGCTGTTGTCACTCCTGATGCAATTGAAGTTGCTCCTGATCCAGTGGCAGTTGCTCCTGACCCAGTTGCAGCCACTCCTGGCCTAGTTGAAGTCATCCCTGACCCGGTTTCACCAGCCCTGCAGCCAGCTGCGATTTCTCCGGAGCCAACGGCTACCCATGGTGTGGAGACAGTTCCAGATTCTGTGGCCCCAACCCCTCATCAGAGGGTACCAGATGACAATTAGAATTTGCAGGTAAAACAACAAGAGCAAACCAAACCCTACCCATCAAGACTGAGGCAGTCTCCCCAGCGCTTGACGTACGATCAACTGGGCCAACCATCAGAGTGCGCCCGATGGAGTTAATGTGGTAAGATGTGAACAATCTCTGTCTTACCAACAACAACCAACTGGTCCATGGCCTAATCAAATGTTGACTCCAACAGTCCCCAAGCTGATTGGGTGGCCTTAGCATCCCCAGAGGACTACCCCGACAATGACGCCTTGGCCTACCTATCAACTGTGGCAGATACAACCTTGGCCACAATGGCACCCGTTCTTGTCACACCAGTAGCTGACAATGATGAGTAGCTGATGATCATAATAGAACTTATACTGCTATTGCCATATCTTTAGTGTTGAATGGCATGGGTTTATAATTAAGTTTGCCCTCTTGGTGACTGGGGGATCAGACTTTGGCTTGTGTATTAACTGTTACATGCACAGAGGATATTTTTATTATCAGAAGTGTTGAGGAAACACTTAATTTTGCAGGAGAGAGTGTAGCAGCCATATATGTTTCTTGTTACTAATATAAGTACGATGTAGGTGCCCCTCTGGAATCCTCCCCCCAATTCTCAACAGCCTACACAGGGAACAGCCTGGTTACAGACACACAGCCCTGGTGAGTGGGTCAGTGTTCACCCACAGCCATTCTGACACTTGATGACTGTGAGAGAACACCTCATTGAACTTCTTAAGAAATCTCACTCACTGGATGCTTTGTGTCATCTATGTGCAGATTTTCACTAATCTCTATAATGACCACCCTGTGGTGACAGCCAACTGGGGGTGCAACACAAAATCCAGTCATGAGTTGAACTGGATGGACTTTCCAGCACAAAATGAAAGCTTGTGCACTTGGAAGTTTCCCGCCACAGCATCTGGCCCAATGCACTGGTCTTTTGTCTTGGTGTATGCACTGTAGGATTCTTTGTAGAAAGATGTCAGGGAACTTGCCTCTGTACCAGTCACGTAACAACACACAGTATGGACACTGGTACATGCATGGACTCCAATGCTAGTGCATGTATCCTGTTCAGGAAACCTGACTTGAATCTTTCTTTGCACATGTACTTCTTCAGTTTGCTGCTTTGGGATCAGCTGGCCTGAGATGTACATGTAGTTGTGATCAGCAGATACTACTTGGAGTATATGCAACTACATGTACATGTACCTTCATCTTATATTCGTTGACTTCCTTAGTTTAGTCAGCTCCTGTGTTTTTGGTGGGTTTATTACACTTATTTAACCACTACCAGTCGGGGACTCCGAAATCGGAGCCGTATGGTTTATATGTGTGGCCAGGGTCTCCAAACTTGGACAAAGGAAACAGGGCCCTGTAACAAAAGACCGTACTCCAAACAAAAGACCAGGCTGCTGGGCATGACCGACATTTTTCACTCTCAAAAGTGGTGATAATCCAGCGTTATTTTGAAACCTTATACCAGGGTTTGGGGTATTTAGAGCAAGCGGATTACCACCGGGGACAAAAGCTCTCCACCACTGCAGCGATGAGCCACACAGCACCGCTGCATGCTAACCTGGCCCCTATTGAAAACAGGTCAGCAGTGCACTGAGCCAGGTTCGTGAACAAAAGACAGTTGTA